AGAGCAGAAGTATGGATATTACTAAAGTCTAACTTGGTGAGCTAATTAATTTTATTGGGGTTACTTATAGAAATGTGGGTGAGGGGCTACTTATAGCACCCAATGATTCAAAGACAACTGCATCACCAAAGCCCACCCAAGAATGAAAGCTGAAACCTGGAGTACAGTGCACAATGTTCAGCCACTCACTAGGATAGATGATGTCTTTCCAGGTAACTCAGTTGGTCTGAGCCTCTTCTAGGAAGCTTGGCTTCTCTGAGAGCCTTCTAGGCAGCTTGTCTTCTCTGAGAGTGACTCTAGGTGGTCTTTTAAAAAAAATAATTGATTTATTTATGTCCCAAATGCTACTCCTCTACTGGTCTCCCATCACAGAGACCTTACCCCATATCCCTCCCATTCTCCTATGAGAGGGTGGGGTCCCCCTGGCTATCCACCCTACCCTGGTGCATGAAGTCTCTGTCTAGGCATTCTTTACTGCTTATAAACATTGCAGAGGAAGGGATTGAATCTGATTGAATCTGCTCATTTTCAGGGATTTCCTGATGCTATTTTGAGTTGTATAATTCTGCCTTAATGGAACTTCCCTTTAGGATGCAGTGTTCACCCTCACCCTCCTAGTACAACCTGTTTCACCTCTTTGTAAACATTCTGTCCTAAATGGATGTGTTGTTTCGCTCTTGCCTACATCCTATGTCTTGAGAGGTTTCCTTCCAAAATGAAATGTTTTGACCTCAGAGGAAACTGTTACACAAATTTATGTTGTGCCTTCTCCCTAGGCCCAGCAGGTAGATGGGATTGAACAAAGTGAGATGAATAGGGCCATTGAACACGTGAGCCAGGTGTGCTCAGTATGGAAGCGAAGATTTGCAGGCCTGGACTGTTTCTTCTTTTGAGAGGCATTTGTTCATCTCACTCCCCAATTTCATAGTGGAGAATCTGTTTTGGTTAAGATCTTTCAGTTCCACACATACTCTGGACCAGTGGCTCTCAATCTTCCTAACGCTGCCACACTTTAAAATAGTTCCTCATGTTGTAGTGACTCCCCAACCGTAAAATTATTTTCACTGCTACTTCATAACTGTAATTTTGCTACTGTTATGAATTGCAATGTAATATCTGTGTTTTTCAATAATCTTATGTGACCCCTGTGACAGGGTTGTTTGACCCCCAAAGGGGTTGCGACCCACAGCTTGGGAATTTCTGTTCTGGACATTAGCCTATTCCTCAGTGAGGTAGATGAAATATTCTTTTCCATCCTGGAGACATCTCTCACCTCTGTCAGTGGATCTCTTTGCTGTGTGAAAACTTTTCATCGACATAAACCTGCTGGCCAACTCTTGCTATCGTTTCTTGTTTTGGTTGCAAGTACTTACAAGTCAGACAGAGCCTTGTACTCACCAAGTGGCATATCTAAGCCTCCAGCCTAGTCCCTCTTCTCTAATGTGTGGATGTGACACCACCTTATGGCTTCCCAGAGAAAGTGTCTTGCAGAGTCCCTGGAACTCAGCCCTTGGGAGCAGCTGACACTTCTGTGGGATTGTGTAAATGCTGCCAGGGAATGTTGTGTAAGGTAAGGTGACAAATGGGGCTGTGTCAGTAAGGATGAGGGTAGTGGCATTGGGCAAGGCATCACTTGGAAAAAGAACATTTGCATCCCTGAGGATTGTTTCTGAGAGTCAACAAGAAGTCTTGTGCTTAGGGGAAGAAGTGCTGGAATTTAAAAAACAGGTGGTTCTACGTATAGAGAACAGCAGCCAGTGGGGTTGACCCTGCAAAATTCCCTAACAGCTTCTTGATTAAGGTCCTGAAGACCCACTTACGGAAAACTGCAGTTGATAGCAGGTCACCCTGTCATGGGTTGTTTTCTGGCATATGACTCATATTTTTGTAAAAACAGTCATTAGTAATTGTAGCTATGCTTCAGAGAAAGCCCCTGTGAGCACTGAATCAGTGGATGCGGAATCGTGGCTCCTTAGGGAAATGAAGCTTCTGACTAGATTTTGATCAAATAATTCACACCCAACCTTGTTTTCAGCTTCTGTTTAAAGGCACTTCATTTAGGACTTGGCTATTGTTAACATGTTTATAGTAAACAACATTGTAATGCATACCTGAATGAAGCTTAGAGGGCAAGAAACTTTTTTGGGGTGTGTGTGTGTGTGTGTGTGCACGCACACACATTTGGTTCATGTGAGCATGTGTGTATAAGGAGGCTAGAGGTTGATATCAGTTGGCTTCCTCTATCACTCTCCACCTTATTTTTTGACACAGATTGGTTAGACAGGCTGACCAATACGCTTTGGGGACGCAATTCTGAGAATACAGATTCAATTGCCAGGCCTGGCTTTGATTTGGGTGCTGGGGATCTGAACTTGGGTCCTCAGTTTCCTGACTGAGACACCTTTGCCTTTGGCAATCTTATCCATGTATATGATATGTTTTGTCCACCCACCCACCCACTCCATATCTGCCTCCCATCTCTATCAGTTGCCTTTGTGGGTTGATGTCTTTTTGTTTTGTTACCCACCGAGTTTAACCAGGGATGTCTGTGTGACCATTGGATTAGACCTATCCACCAGAGCCTGGTGGGCTTATCAATGGGTACTCCATTTAAATCATTGACTCCCCTTTTCCAGGAATCTATCAGTAGCTACTATTTATCAGGGAGGAGTGGCATGAGTCCCTCCCCGATTCATATCTGACTGCTGACAGGCTCAGTCTTGCGTAGGTCCAGATGCAGGCTCTCTCAGCTGCTATGAGTTCATGATTGCAACTGTCTTGTCCTGATGATGGCATTCCTTAACCCTTTACCTTATCTTCTGGCTCTGACAGTCTTCCCACCCCCTCTTCTGCGGTGTTTTCTGGGCCTTAGAGGGGGTGGTAGAAATGTTTTGCTTAGCCCTGCCTTTTTCTTTCTTTCTGTTTTAAAGGGAAGGTTTCTCAGGCTGACCTTAAGCTCACTGTGTAGCTGAGGATGAACCTGAGCTCTTGATTTTTTTGCCTCCACCCAAAGGCTGAGATGACATATCTGTGACACACCTTGAAGTATGTTGTTGTTGTTTTAAAGACACACCATGGCCTTTTTGTGACAGAGACCTTAGGCCGTGTTTGAGCACTATCTAGGCACTGGAGGTAATCTGACACAGTGAAACCATTAACCAAAAGCATGAGAAGTACAAAACACAGGGCATTACATAGACTACCAGGAGGATACTTGTTCTCAGGATTCTGAAGCAAGGAGGAAGGGCCTCTCTTGCTTTGTCCCTGCTAGAGGAGCCTGTGGAGTCAGAATGGAAACTTTCAGTGCTCTGTGACTGTCTGCAAATGACTTCACAAATATCAGTATTGATTAGTGGTTACCAAATTTTTTTAGCAAGGAAGGGCATGCACAAATATGGAATCTAATTGGTGAGGATCAACCATCATCTCTTTACTAAGTTCCCTTGCATAGAGGGCTGGAGAGATGGCTCTGTAGTTAAGAGTGTGTACTGCTCTTGGCAGAGGGTGGGAATTCAGTACTTGGCTCCCAGCATAAACAAAAGGTGGCTCACAACACCCTATAACTCCAGCTCTAGGGATCTGATGCCCTTCTCTGGCCTCTGGGGTTAACTGCACACAGACCTCCCAATACAAGTGCACATAATTAAATAAACAAAAGGCAAGCAAGCAAACAAAAACTTCACACAATTCCCTTAGGAATTGTGGGGAAAACATGCGTGGGGGTGGCTCGGGCCTCCCGTGGACCGTGGCGGTGGGGTCCCAGAGGCCTCCCTGCTGGCCGATTCCCATATACGCAAGAAAGTCCAAGGTTCCAGAAAGACACCTGGAATCCAAGAGATGAAAGTTTTATTGTCCATGATGCTGGTTGGATCTGGATGTGAATGCGCCTCCACCAAATGCCAGGAGGAGCTCTCTTATATGGGGAGTGGGAAAGAGGAGGGACTAGGGAGAGGAATAACTTAATCAACTAGCCCCACCCCAGCCTTATTAATATGCAAATCTCTCGAGGCAGAGGCCTGTTAGTCACGCCCTCTACCTGTGTCTTATGTGACTGATGGTATAGGTTAAATGGAGATGGGACTGTGTGTCGGGGCCCTGGGTTCTGGGGGCGTGGCCAAACACCTGCAGTCTCAGGGTTCCAGGCCCATGTCAACCCAGGATGCCCTTCTACAGCCCGACAGGTTGAGTGTTCTCCTTCCTGATTGGTTTCAGGAAGAGCCTGACAGGTGCTGATGTAGAAGTCTGAGCCCTAGGAGTCCCGAGACTCTTTTTAAGTTGACCCCATGAATTGGTTGAACCCATGGATTTAGATTCAAAGTGAGACTGCAAAAATCACCCGCCCTCTTTGTCTGTGTCTCTCAGACCCTGGGATCTAGGGAGAACAGATTGCAGAGTAATTTGATGGTGTTCAAGGTTTCCAGACCACACAGGAAGACCTGAGCTACAGCTGGGTGTGAACAGGGCCACTCAAGGGTCTCTCCCTAAAGAACACTGTGGCTACAGGGAATGGCTTTGTGAGTGTCACAAGGGCAGTGGCCATTTCAGCTGTGCGCACTGCTGCAACCTGCCTAGTTCAGGGCTTGACACTTTTTGTGGGGTGAGGACAGAAGCAGAGGTCGAAAGAACTCTGCTAAGAGGGCAGGCTCTGTAGCCATGGATGAAGCTTGAGTAAGTGGCTTAACTTCTCTATGCCTCAGTTTCCACAAGTGTAACATGGGGCTGTTAGTAATAACAGCTTATGTTACCACTTAAGTTATGATAGGCAGCAACTGTGCCTCAGACCTTCTACTGAAACACTCACCTGTCATTACCGCAACCATTTAAAATAGGTGCTGGTATATTGATTTTACAGTCTTGAGACACTGAGGTCAGAGAAGGGCAGTGGCTTGCCCATTGTCACACAGCTTGAAACCAGCAGCTGAGACCTAAATCCTAACAATTCGACTAAGAGGAGACACTAGGTTTTGCAATGTGATTGGCATACAATCAACTGGTGGCTAATAATGACAATATATTTTAATTATAGTTCTGCTGTTTGGCGGGAAGATTAGTCAGAGGGGAGGGCGGGCCATGTATTTGGGGGCATCCGCTCCTGCCGCCCAAGGCCAAGGCTAGCTGTGGTCACTTGGAGACGGTATTGGTTTGTCTGCGCTGTGGTGTGCGAGGGTCCCAGTCGTTGACCAGGCGCTGCGCCTGCTCATAGCACACATGCGGGTGGCGCTGGCGCAGGCGCAGACGCACCACATCGTAGTCCACATCATGCCCTATCTTTTTGCAGTTGAGGCTCCAGGCGAGGTCGTCGTGTGTTGTACGGAGCTCTTTTAAGTTCTTTTCCATGTGCAAGTTGTGGCGGGTCAGCAGGTCAGTACCCTGGAGACGGAGGGAGCAGAGGTTTTGATGGGGAAGGGGCGGAGCCTTGGCAAGGTTGAGCTGGGAAGGGCAGATCCTGGCAAAGGAGGCAAAGGAGATCCTTGCAGTGGAGGGACTGTGCTTTAAAAGAGAGACAGGACATGTCTGGGGGAATCTGGGCTCGTTGAGGAGGGGCATGGCCTTGTTTGGGAGGGGCGTGGGCGTTCTGGGGAGGGGTGAGGCTTTTAGGAAGTAGTGGAGCTAGCAAAGTCTTTCTGGGGGAGGGTCAAGGCAGTGCTGGGAGGGGTGGGTCCGTTGTTTGGGAGAGGTGGAGATGTTCTGGAGTAGGGCAGAGCTGTACTGGGAAGAAGAGAGGGGCCATGCTGGTAAGGGTTGGGCGGTGTTGGAGAAGAGTGGCATCAAGCCGAGGAGAGGTAGGTTGGGGAAAAGTTGTTTGATTTGGGGAAGGGGAGGGGCCATGCTGGGAAGAGAGTGGGCAATGCTGGGGGACTGGCAAGCCAAACCCAGAGCCTTAAGCTGGTGCTGTATGGGATAGGCAGGAGCATAGAGCAGATGTGAAGATGGGCAGGATTCTATACAGGGGCCAGGTGTGCACCGGAAAGGGCCCCACATGCAAAAGAGCATAGCTGAGAAGGTAAATCTCTGTTGTAGGGGTTCCAGGAAAAAAGTGGGACCAGGTCTGCGAGAAAAACAAAACACAAACACTAAAGGCTAAGATAGCTGAGGGAGGGAGGCTTACAGCAGCACACTCCAAGAATATGGAACACATTTGAGCAATTTATGTTAAGAGTTTCAGAGCTCTGGGGGGGTGGAGTAGGAGTGGGGCAAATGGTGAATGGTGTGGCCCAGCAACTTGAAAAGCCTGATGTCAGAGGCCAACCTGCAGTGAGAGGTTTTCCCTTGTTCTGGTGTGCTTGGGGAAGGCAACTTACCAGGATGTGATCTCACCTAGGGAGACGCGGAGGAGACATACCTGGGCAAGGCGAGTGGCCTCCGGGAGCTGGGTGCCCACGTGTCTCTGATACATTCGAACCAAGGGTCTGTTCAGTTTTTCTCGCGCCTCCAGGTTTCTTTTTAACAGAGGACCCTGGCAAAGTATGTTGTGAGCAATGAGGCCCAGCCTACCAGATTCCTCCCCTCCCCAACCCCTTCCCACGTATTATTCTCCTTCATCAAACCTTACCTTGATGATGCCCCGCGTGACGTACATCTCTTGATTGAATTTCATGCACCGGTGGATAGTCCCCCTCATTAGCCCTAAAGTCATGGTCATTCTTTCCTGGAGATTGGGGAGCACAGGGGTTTCGTTCTGGAACACTGTCCCTTCCTTCCCCAACCACTACAGCAGTAACCATCCTCCGGAGCCTAGCCAGGCAGTGTGGCACCTTCAACTCCAAGGTCTCACGCATCTTCTGTGCCAGCGAGGTGCATACACGGTCGCTTATCTGCTGTTGCTGATTTTGAATGTCCACCTCGTTCTTTGCCATCTCTGTTAAGATGTCCTTGGACTCCATCAACAAGCGCTTGGCTTCAAACAAGGCCTTAGCGCAGGCTGTGAAAGCACAGGGTGTACATGGGGGCACAGGCCTCTCTGTGTCTTCCTTTGTCTCTCCGCCCCTTCTCCCCTTTCTGTGGTGCCGGGCCAGGGGTGAAGGGACATGCATGAAGGACTGAGAGAAAGTTCAAGGAAGGGCGAGTGAGGATAATTTAAATTGTGCCTTGGGCTGGCTTCTTTTGAAATAGAACCTGTGAATGAATGGGTGCTGTTGGAAGTGTCTAGGGAAAGAGGCCAAGCAAGGCTGTATACTTAAGTAACAGCTAAGGGAACTGCAGTTTTAGCAGACACCTTTCTGTGGTGCCTACCTGGGGTGTATGTGCCAATGGGGTCAGGAGGAGGCGTTTTCAAGCCCTGAGTTCGAGGAGTTGGGGGTCGGGTGATGTCTACCCACGAGTGGCGGCCAGCCTGCTCCAGAACCTTGTCCAATGGCTGGTTCATGAGTCCCACAGCTTGCAGCCTTTCCTGACAGTAGAAGTCCAGTGTGTCCCTGCAGGAGGCCAGAGCCTGAGGGCCAGAGAAACAACAAGTAAGCTTGGATGTAGGGGGCAGGGCTAAGCCCATCATAAAGCTCTTGGGCCTTTAAGCTGACTTTGTTATACCAAGGCCCAACCTCATCAAAATAGAAGTCTCTTTGCATAAGTATATCCTTGCAAACACACCTCTCACCTAGTAACTCATGAATTTTCCTGTTGCCTCTTGGTCTCCTTAACCAAGATAATAGTTTTGTATGTTTTTAAAAAGGGGTTAGCAAACTATAGCCTACAGACAGGTATGGCTTTAATTATTATTATTATTATTATTATTATTATTATTATTATTTTCTGAGACATGGTATCTCTCTGTAGCCCTGGCTGTCCTGGAACTCTCTCTCTGTAGACTAGGCTGGCCTCGAACTCACATTCACCGGATTCTACCTTCTGAATGCTGGGATTAAAGGTGTGTGCCATCATTGCCTGGCTATTTATTTGCTTTAATCAGGACACAGTTATAAACCTATTCTTGGACACACCCAGTCTGGTGGCTTTAAGCTGCTCTGGCCTCCTTGAGTAGTTATAATGGGGCATACAGAATGCAAAGCTAAAGGCATTTGTCATTTGACATTAAGAAAAAGCCCACTGAGGACTGGTAAAATGGGTTAGCAGGTGAAGGGGCCTGCAGATAATCCTGATAACATGAGTTTGATACCTAGTACCTATATAGTGAAAGGAGAGAACCCACACTGGGAAGCTCAGAACTGTCAATCATTCCAACTCCATGAAGAATTGACACTTCTGGTTTCTTAGGAGCACCTGTACTACATATACACCCTCCCAATATACACGATTAAAAATAATAAAAAGTGATTCTGTGACACGACTCAGTGTGTTCAATCCATGATACTTCGAAAAATGTCTTCCCTAAATGAATCCTAATACTTATCAAGTCCCTACTGTGTGCCAGAGATTGTGCTGAGTGGAGATTTGGTGCTTGGCTAACAGTGACAAAATGGTCAGATCCAATATCCACGAAGAAAAAAATCTTGGTGGTTTGACTAGCAGCTGGGTATCAAGAGAATAGGGCTATTTATTTATTTACTGCATTTAAAAATATTTTATTAGTATATGCTAATTTTACACAATGAGTTTTATTATGACATTTTTCAGAACTGTACACAATGTAGTCTGCCCATATCCATCCCCACTTAGGTCAGAGCCATTTGTGTATTAGGCATCCAGGGGTCCCTCTCCAGGTACCCCCTAACCTTGAGCAAGGCCTCCGATTTTTCCATATCTTTCTCCATTTTTCTCTTCATAGACTTCAGTTCCTCTTTCTCCCAGACAAGCATGCTGTCAGCCTTGTCTGGGATCTAGAAAAAAAAAAGGGTGAATTACTCTCAGGGGAAGGCTGGAGATTTCATCTTTTAGATTAGAAAGGACTCCACACCCTTTCGAACTGTGGAGCTTGCAGCTGGAGTTTTGTTCCTTTTGGGGAGGTGGGGGGTGGGGTGGGGGTTGGGGTGAATGTGTGGGGGAGTGGAGGTGTCTTTCTGAGAATTAATCTTTCCAGGAGGTGTGCCTATGTCTTGCTGAGGGAGGTGTTTGCTGACTTTTTAAAGTTTGCTGTCTGGGCAAGGTGGCTTGCCCCGATGAATTCCTGGGATAGCACCTGTTTGCAGCCCTCAGTGCTGGGGCTAAAGGCACCGGTTCTGGCTTTTGTGTGGGTGCAGAGGATTCAAACTTAGGTCCTCACATTAGCACAGCAAGAGTTCTTACTCACTGAGCTATGTCTCCAGTTCAGGAGTGGCTTCTATTTTTTGTTTTGTGTAGTTTTCTTTTGGTTTGAGACCCAAGGAATCATCACGTGCCCTCCTTAACCAGGTCTGGAGGTGTTTTTCCCTTGAAACTGGGATATTATGGCTTGTTGGTCAAGGCAGAATCTGTGAGTCGGAACTTCTTGGAGCAGGGGTAGAGGTGATGTGATATTCAAACTTGAGGACACAAATTTCCCTCTTTGGGAAGATTTTTATGCAGTGTGACTTGGGGCGGCAGTGAGGTGGAGGGTTACCCTCGTAGCCTAGATTTGAAACAGTTTGTCTATTGGGGAAGTCCTTTTGGAAGTACCCTGACATTCTAAAAAGACACCTAAGTCCTTCAGTCTGACTGTTAACAGACCCCAGGAAACTGGAAGTCACCCCAGAGATCTCCTGCTGGGAGAAGGAAAAGGCCTGGTGCCAGGTGGAGGAGAAACTCTTTCCAGAAGGGATTCCACACAGTACTGACAGCTATTCTTGCTCTGAGAGACTGAGCCTAGACAAAAGGTCAGCGATGGGCAGGACCACGCCTTATCTCCCACGGCTTAGATAGCTTAGATGTTCTTAGTATGGCTCCCTCTTTAAACTTTAATCTCTCTCAGAACAACGAGAATGGACAACAGAGGGTCATTGGAGGGTGATGTGGTCCCATTGGTTAAATACTCTTTCTGCATTTTTACTATTAATTGGCTGTTCTTCTTGCGTATAGAGGACGGGTGGCCGAACCTGGTTTCTTGGAGGCACAGATTGTGACCTCAATTTCGGTAACAACTTTGGGGGAACTCAGGCTTTGAAACTTGGAGGTGTAGCCACCCTATCCTGGGGATGTCCTCTCTGGAGATGGAGCATAGTGCGTGTTGTCTGTCTGCAGAAGGAAGCATCAACCTCTGCTGGTGGCGGGGGAGGTGGCAGGGAGGGTCGCACCTTCTCAGACTTGGGTCGGTAGCCCCGCAACTTGACGCTCTGCTGATTGATGAGCAGGCCCTTGCGCACCTCGCTGAGCTTGCGATCAGTGGCCTCGCGCTGGCGCAGCAGCAGCCGCAGCTGCCCATTGATCTGGTGCTGCGCACGGCCCAGGCGGGCGGCGGTGAGGCGCGCCCCGCGCGCGTGCGCGTGCACCACCTCGGCGGTTTGTTGAGCACGCGCGTCGCGGTGCATAGGTAGCGGTAGGCGTGCGTACCAGGCCGGGGGCTTCATCTTCCCTTTCCATAGCGTGACGCCTTCGCCCGGCGGTGGCTTTTCCAGGGTGCCGCCCCCTTTGAGCATCTCTACCCGAAAGCGCCAGGGTTCCATGTAGGCGGCGCGGCCCAGGTGGTGCGCCACGTTCGGGTCCAGCACACTGTCCTTGGGCTGCCACATGGTCACTGCCTCCTGACCACAGCGATCGGTCAGAAGGTGTGCCTTGCGAGACGTGGCCTTGGCCGCCTGGCGCCATTCTGGAGCCCCAACGCGCGAGTCCTGGCCCCGGTCGGTGGAAGGGAGCAACACAGGCATGGTTCCTAACTTGGAACTCGGATTTGGCCCGCGATGCCCTCGGAGAATGGACAGGGGTCCACCCACCCCTAATCACACACTACTCTTTCCTGGTGGCTAGAATGAGTGCGCCCAGAGCTCCCCTCACCATAGCAACCAGGACAACCACAGAGATTGCGTTCCAGGGGCGGGGGATGGGAACCTCAAGCTGGAGAACCAGGCCTGGAAATTCATACTGTATTTCTTGAGGGAGCCGCTTTTATGGAGTTCCTCTCTCGTTGTTTCTCTTGATTTTGGAAAACTGTCAGCCATCCTATATCTACTAGTAGATACCACGGTCTTGCATTTGGAAAATCCCAAGGAATTCACGAACTAGTACTAACAGTAGTAGTTTTGAAGTATACACGAATACTGAGACATCTTGTTGGCTCCCAATTATGTTTTTATACTCTTGAAATAAACAGTCAAAAACAAAAAAAGAAAAGAAAAGAAAACTGAATTAAGAACACAATTCTTGGGCGGAGAGGTGGCTCAGTGGTTAAGAGCATATATTGCTCTTCCTGAGAACCTGAGTTCAATTCCTATCATTCACATCAGGTGGTTTACAACTGACTGTAACCCAGGGTAATCCGACACCTCAGGCCTCTGTGGGCACTCGAATTCATGTATACAGATGCCCCCCATACACATAATTAAAATAATAAAAATAAATCTTAAAAAAAAGGACTACATTTCCTGCAGCTCGGGAGATGGCTCAGCTGGTAAAGTGCTTGCCTTGCAAACACATCTGAATTAGATTTTCAGAACTACATGAAAACATGCCAGGCTAATTTGGTGGCAAGACTGTAATCTCAGCACTGGCTATGCTAAAATGAGGATTTCTGGGGCTGGCTGGCCACTAGCTGACCTGGCTAGCTCCTGGGTAGTGAGAGATCCTATCTCAAAAATGGTGGAAGAGCTAGCTGAAGACAGACACCTGAGGTTTTATGCACCTTAAACCAACCAATCAACCAACCTACCAAAACACTGCAATTCCATTTAAAACAACTAAAAGAGATTAAAATATGTAATACTTTCCAGCTCTTAGGACAGTCTAAGTTCTTTCTCACCTCAAAATTTATTACTTTTTCCTTCTCATAGAATTCTCCTTGGCTGACTTCGTGCTTCTTCATTTTGGTCTTCAGAACCCAGTTTATGTGTCTTAAAGGAGTCTTTCTCTACTATGACCACAGTGAGCTTTACTCTCCTACTGAACAGAGACTTTAGTGCAAGCTACCAAAACTACAAAGATGATCTCTTAGATGACAGTTACAAAATAAAAAAAGAAAAATGCCCAAGCCAAGTAAAGCAAACAACAAAAAGCAAACACCTGAAGACTCAAAGAAAGAAAAGAAGGACCAAAGCCTTGAGTGTTTTTCAGAAGAGGAAATAAAATAGATATCAGAAGTGGATGAGGGAGGGGTAGGAAAGAGGAGCGGGGTAGTGATCAGGTGTAGGGAGAGCAGGGGAGAGAGAACAGAAATCATCTGTGGGTGGTTGGGGGGAGGATCTCTAGGATGTGCCAGAGACCTGGGACTGGGGAGATCTCAAGGTGGCTACGGTGGTGACCCTAGTTGGAACTCCTATCAGTGGGGATAGGGATCCGGAAATGGCCTCTTCCTGTAGCCAGGCAGAACTCCCAGTGGAGGGATAAGGACAGCAACCCACCCACAAAACCTTCAACCTAAAATGTGTCCTGCCTACAAGATGTACAGGGACAAAGAGCAGAGACTAAGGGAATGGCTAACCAATGACTGGCCCAAATCGAGACCCATCCCATGATCTCTGACACTTTGATGTTTTGTTAGGCTTGCAGACAGAAGGAGCCTTGCATAACTGTCCTCTGAGAGGCCCCACTCAGCAGCCAATGGAAATAGATGCAGAGACCCATAGCCAAACATTAGATGGAGCTCAGGGAGTCTTGTGGAAGAGTTGGGGGAAGGACTGAGGGACCCAAGGGGACTCCAGAGGAAGACCAACAGAGTTAACTAATCTGGACTCTTGGGGCTTCCCAGAGACTGAACCACCAACCAAAGAGCAAGCATGGACTGGACCTATAGTTCCCCACACATGTGTAGCAGATGTGCAGCTTGGTCTTCATACAGGTCCCCTCCCCCCAAACTGGAGCAGGGACTGTTCCTGAATTTATTATCTGCCTGTGGATCCTGTTTCCCTAACTGGGCCACCTTATCTGGCCTCAGTGAGAGAATATGCCTAGTTCTGCAGTGACTGATGTGCTGGGGTGGATGAGTGGGCAGGAGGGTTAGGAAGTATGGTGGGGAGTGAAGGGGTGGGAGGGGGAAGTAGGGATAGGGAGTTGTGACTCCCAGGGGCCACTCCCCCTTCTCAGAAGAGAAGGGGAGTGGGTGGGGGGAAGAGCTTTGAGGGGGACTGGGAGAAGATGGGGGCATGATATTGGGATGAAAAGTAAATTAAAAACTAAAGTCTACACTGCCACCATCGCCAAATAAAATACAAAACCAAAATTCAAAACAGACACATTAAAGAAAAAACACATGCAAATAAGTAAAAAACAAAAACAAAACAAAACAAAAGCCTCAAACCCTCTTCCCTGTGAACTAATTCTCTTTTCACCTCTAACTTCAGCTCCAGTCACAGAACTGCAGACTCCTCCTCATTTTTTGGGTCTCTCTGATGTGTTAGGTAGTTTTTGCCCCAGGGCCTTTGTTCTTGCTGTGTTCTTTGACTGGCTCTCTTTCCCTTAGTATTTTAAAATCTACCTAAGTTTTTAGTATTTGCTCGATTGGCTGCAGTATGTCCCTTATGCTAGAAGCTTAGTCCTTAGCATGGCAGTAGAAGACACTTCAAGAAGTGGATTCTAGTCAAATGTAGTAAGAACACTTGGACATTGTCCTTGGAAGGGATAAATGTAGCTCTTGTGTGATCTTGACTAGTTCTATTTTTTTTTTTAAATTCATTTTTAATTATGTGCCTGTATTTGGGCATGTTCTTGCAGTGCCTGCAGAGGCCAGAAGAGGGCAGGCATTGTGAGAACTCAGAAAGAGAAATTAGCACTTTCCTACTGTGTTGTCTTCCGCTCCTTAAGTTGTATGCATTTTCGTCCACTGAATGAACAAATGAATAAGTTCTTCCAAAAACAGGAGCCGCTGAGAGGATTTCAGGAGAGGCAGCTCACTTGGGACACATTCTGTACTCAGCAGTTATCCTTTGCTTCTTTCATGTCTTACTTTCTCTGCTTCTTTTTGATCTTAATATTTTAGATTTTGAGGATTTCATACATGAATGCTGTATTTACATGTTTTCCAACTCTCCCTTTCTTCCTTTCAGCTCTTCCCACACTCCCTCTCAAATTCATGACTTCTTAAATTCTCTCTCTCTTTCTCTCTCCTCTCTCTCTCTTGCTCTCTCTCGCTCTCGCTCTCATTCTCGCTCTTTCATTCTCGCTCTTTCGTTCTCGCTCTCTCACTCTCTCTCGCTCTCTCTTGTTCTCTCCTCTCCTCGATTCATTTAGTGTTGCTTATGTGTACATGTGTTTAAGTAAAAGCCTAAGGACCAGGACTCTTACTGCTAAATAGTGCCTTCTAGACATGACAGGAAAGCTGAACTCATGAAAATTTTCTTTCTTTGATTTCTTTTTTAAAAAATTAGTAGCTAAAGAGATGACTCCTTGGTGGTTAAGAGCTTTTGTACAGGAGCTAAGTCAAGAGTGTGGTAGCTCCCAGCTGTCTGCAACTCCAGATCGATGGAGTCCAACACTCGCTTCTGGCCTCCAAGTGCTCCTGCACACACACGTGTACAGACTCTGCTACCTACACATGCACACACATACACACATGCTCACACACACACACACATAGACACACACAAACACATAGACACACACACACACATAGACACACACACACACACACACAAACACACACACTATAAAAAACCTTATGGGTATGGAGCTCAGAGAACACCTTGTAGGAGGTGGATCTCTCCTTCCACCATGTAGGTCTCGGGGCTCAAACTCAGGCTGTCAGGCTTTTCAGTAAGTGCTTTACCCACAGAACAACCTGTTAGAGTCCTGATTCCTCTCTGTTGACCAGAGGAGTTCAGTAGGCTGATTGCTGCCTGCTGAGTGTAGACTAGAATTGTATCCAAATATCAGTCTAACTGAGAGACACTGTCTTAGTTAAGGTTACTGTTGCTGCGATAAAACACCATAATGGAAAGCAACTTGTGGAGGAAAGGGCTTATTTGGCTTACCTATCCTGACTCATAGTCCATGGAGAGAAGTCAAGGCAAGAACTCAAGCAGGGCAAGAACCTGGAGGCAGGAGATGTTGTAGAGGCCATGGAAGGGTGCTGCTTACTGGCTTTCTCTTTATGCCTTGCTCAACAGTGCTTTCTTATTGAACCCAGTACCACCAGCCCAAGGATGGCACCACCCACAATGGACAGGACCCTCCTTCATCAATCACTAATTTAAAATATGGCCTACAGCCAGATCTTACGGAGGTGTTTTCTCAGTTAAGGTTATCTCCCTTCAGATGACTCTAGATAGCCTGTGTCAAGATGACATAAAATTAAATATAACATATCCACAGCTCTGCTGGGTCAGTCCTATGGGTGAGGATTTTGTCTTTCACATGTCTGTTGCAACTCATTACGATGGTAGATGTGGGTACATTCTGTCTCATATTGATTTGTTTTCTTGTTCTTAGGAAAATGTTACTTTTAATAGTATCTGTTAATAGCATAAAATAATGATTTTCATAGTGATATCTTTATAAATATATATATAATGAACTTTGATCATGTTTACCCTCTTATTAACCTTCCTGTACTTTAATAACTTCATACTTAATAACTTCCTGTATTAACCTATGTATGTCATCACTTCCTCTGCTTCTTCCTCTTCTGTAATCTGCTGAGCCCAGCTAGTGCTGCCTGCTGTAATGTTCTTGTTGGGTTGATCTTGTGCAAGTGACCACAGCTGCAGTGAGTTCTTGACTGCAGTGGTCACATCATGCTGGGAAGACAGCATTTCACAGTCTCCTCTACATTCTCTGGCCCTTAAACTCCTAATGTCCTCTTGTTCTCTCCTCTGGGATGTTTCC